CTGGCCCGGGAGGGGTGGCAGCCTGCAAGGCGGGCGGGCAGGCCTCCCTGCCAGCAGCCTGGGCTGCCTGGCACCGCTATGGCCGAGCATCGCCAGCCCTGCGCCCTCCGGGTGATGGTGGGGTGAGGGGCCCCGAGCAGCACCGGGGTGCCCAAGCATTGGGGCTCGGGGGATGGCTTTGATGTGGACTTTTCGTGGCCCCTTGCCTGGGCAGCCCCCGTAAAGGGGCTGCTCGCCCATCCTCGGAGTCATGGGCAGACTCAAGGCCACTCGCCTGCATCCATGAACCTGTCCTGGCCATGGAGATCGTGCTATTCTAGTCCCTCTTGCTGTCTGGATGGGAGAAGGAGGGAGCCTGGTCTCTCTGCAGGGCCAGAGCCTTTTGGACCCTCTGCCACCCCTGCATTGCAGCTGGGATACCTTCCTCACCTCCTGTAAATCCCGCTGCCACCCCTGCATTGCAGCTGGGATACCTTCCTCACCTCCTGTAAATCCCAAGCTGGGAAGCCTGGCAAACTTTCCCAGTGCTGCTTTACCAGGCAGGCTGGGGAGACGTGGGTGTTGAGACAGGCCATTCCCAGCACTTCTCGGGGACCGGTTTCAGGACAGTCATTCCCGTGGGATGAGCAGCGGGCCTGGGTGCGCACTGGGACAGGTGAAATGCCAAGGGCATCTCCTGTGCCAAGGGCATCTCGTTTCCAAGGGATGAGAGGCCCGTCCCCTGCCGTCAGATAGCACTTGATGATTTCCTCCAGTGACTGCTTGGAGTATTCCCTGTTGGTTTTTTGGTTTTTTTTGTTTTTTTTTTCCTGGATGCCGTTGTGGCGCTGCCTTCCTGTACCTGCCTGCCCAGGAGCAGGGAGCGGGCTCCCTGGGGTGGCTGTCCCCAGCCAGGGTGCCCTTGCTGGCTGCCAGGGGCTCTGATTTTGGCCCTCTGCCCAGCAACGGGTGCAGGGCTGGCCGGGGCCGGGCTGGCCCGGGCACTAGATGGAGCCACAGGCTGCCTCACAGGGACCCCATCCTGCTGGCTGGGAAGCTGGGGAGATGCCACCAGGACCTAGCCATGTCTTGACACCTTGCTTTCCTTTCCCTGGCTTTTGCAGCTGATGTGGGGACGAGGAGGCCCCGGAGCTGCCAGGTCTCAGCCCGCTCTGTGCCCACCAGACGGGGAGACCTCCGTGCTGGGGAAAGGAGAGGAACCCGCATGATGGCTGGGACTCTGGAGCCAGGGGAACGCGTCGCTGCTGCCGTCGTGGCACGTGTGTCCCTCGCCCATGAGACCAGGATATGCAGTGAGAAGGACTTACACCTCCCTGATGTCCTTAGGGGAGGCCGTGCAGAGTTGGGCAATAGGCCACCGCCACGGCGTTGGTAGGAGAGAGGATGCTGTGCCAACCGCACCTCGCCCCAGAGCTCCCACAATCGCCCCCCTACTCAAATGAGCAAAGCTGGCCACCCTGCGGCAGCAGCAGAGCGGCAGCCCATCGCCCGCTGCTGCCTCACGCAGCGCACACCTTCAGCCACAGCACCCTGCCCTCTCCTCCCAGCTCTGCCCAAAGTCCTGGTGCACCTACCTGCCGGCCTGCCTCGCACCGGCTTCGAACCCAGCACAGGCATCTTGAGCGTGTCTCAAGAAGACCCTTATTTCTTTACAAATTCTGGGGACTGCTGTGTTGCAACCCAGTTTTTAGCTTTCCAGGGTCACAAAAATATTCATTAAATACTCTCGAGGCTTTCTGAGAAAAAAGCTTTTGGGTGAGGAAAGCAGGACACCAAAGGACCAATTTTTTTTATCCTGGTTACCCCATCTCTTAGGAAGCCAAACAAATTGCGTCATAAACTCGTGCTGTATTATTATGCAAACCACATATTAAGAGAGAGGTTTTTTTCAGTGCTGCGCAACATTTCAGCTTTTGATTTCCTCAGGAGAACACAAACCCTTTCACAGCTTCCTCAAAACTGGCACTTAGGTACTGCAAAATCATATTCTTGGTGATTTTTGAGCTGTGGAGTGATGTGCTTGGGGAGTTGCGTGCCCACTGCTCCCCTCGTCGCACCCAGCCGTCTCCCCTCCCCTTCTCCCTGCTCCCGGAGGGAAGGTCCCCACTCCAGGGCAGTGTGTGGAGACGCAGCAGGGAGGGAGTTGGATCCGGAGCCAGTGGGATGGGGTGAGAAGCGGTTGAGCAGAGCGAGGCAGGCTCTTGGGTGCCATTGCCATGCCGCCTTCCTCTGCCTGGCCACTCCCAGGAGAGACAACGGCAGCAGCCATGGCCATGCTCCCCATCTCTGGGCATGGCCGCTGGGTTGGTGCAGTCCCCAGAAAAGGGGTCAGTGGGAACAGGGGGTTTGCTCACCCCTGGAAAGGCTGTGCCGGGGTGGGGACCCCCAAGCACAGAGGGCTGGCGGCAGCCGGGGGCATCCATTTTAAAAATCCACATTCATTCTTTTACCCCCAGCCCTGCTGTCTCATCTGAACAGCCCTGCCCAGCTGTCCTGGCTTCCCTGCACAGCCGATTTCTCCACACCCTCGTGTTTTTGATGCTCCTTGTGTTTGTCTCGATGGCTGTGCTCTCAGCCGCCTGCCTGTCTCTTTCCCAAGCCGCTCCATTCTCACCCCCGCTGGCTTTTCTAGAATTGCACCTTCTAGGCGCTGGGGAGCATTCAGGGAGGCAAAGTCATCCGGGCGCTTTTAGCAGAAGTTGGTGCAGCAGGACAGAGAAGTGAGAAACAGCAAAGTCAGGGTGACTTTCATTCAAGCAGGGCAATGACTTTGGGCCAGGTTCAGCGATCTGCTAGACGCAGGCTGTGCATCGCAGGCACCGCCCCACGGGAGTGCTCGCCTGTGCTGACGCCGGGGCTGCTGCCCCAGCCAAAACCCAGGCAAAACAGAGGTGCTTGCAGATTTTAAATCAACAGATTCAGAGGGTGGCGGAGGTGGCAGAAGCCCATGACTAAATAGGTTATCCACGACGAGCACAGGCATGGGCCCAGGCAGCGGCTGAGCTTCATGGCAGCAAGGGGTTTCACCCCCATCCCTGGCATGTGGTGGGAACAGGGTGGGCTGCAGAGCCTGGATAATCCCATGATGCATGGGAGCTGGGCACCCCACACCCACCCACGGGTAAGGCTGGGGGCTGCGTGGTCTGGGTCTGACCCCAAGGGAAGGGAGATGGGGGCAGTGAAAAGACCAATGCCACACATGCCCCCTCCAAATGCTGGGGAGCCCTTCAGCCGTGGAGGGAAGCAGAAGCTGCAGCTGACACGGGACAGGAAGGGATTTTATTGCAAACCAAGCCTGATTTCACTCACGCAGCCCAACACGCTCATGCCCATGTGCTCCCAAGCACCAAGACCCCTGTGTCCAGCCGGCTTGGCCAGGATTTCCCGCGGTGCCTGGTAGGACTGGGGGCATCAGCTGCCTGGTCCTCACCATGCCCTCCACCTACATGCCCAGCCTTGGCCCATTGCCTTCCTGCTAGGCATGGCTCAAAGGTGACAAACAAGCCAAGCAAGGTGAAATGAAAAAGGAGATGGGGCGCATGCATTTGCATTAGAAGAAAACAAGAAAAAACACAAAAGGATGCTGGTAAGCAGCCTTCTGCTGTTTTCCATAGCCCTCA